ATGTATTAATGGAAGATACCAAAGACAATACCAAGAAACTATGGTTGGTTTTTCAGGATATGAAAAAGGCATTTGACTTAGTATTTCTGCAAGCACTAGATCTGGCAATAAGAAGACTTAAAATGCCTAAGAGAATTATAAATTTTATATTGAACTTATTTGAAAACAGACAATCTAAAATTATTATATACTGAGAAACTATAAAAACATGGAAATTAGAAGATGGTATTAAACAAGGTGAAATGTTATCACCATTAATATGAAAAATATTTTATGACTCATTACTCAAAAGAATTCAAGAGAACTCAAATCTTCGATATACAGCTAAAGTAGACATTCTATACAATTATAATCTTAACTATTGCAAGAAAATGAAATGGAAGCAAGCAGTAGTAGCTTTTGCTGATGACACAATGTGGATTGCAAAAAAACAAAGAACAAATAGAGTAAACAATTCAAATAGCAGAAGAGTTCTTTAAAATCAATGATATTCAGATAAATAGAAAAAAATCAAGATTAGTAATTATGAATACAAAAGAAAGAATAGGAAATAGAAAGATACATTTAGGCGATAAATGAATACAAGAAGAAAATGTAAACAAAATAACAAGATTCTTGGAAATATGGCTTAACAATAAGCTAAAAAAGTCTTTAGTCAAAACAAGAGCTCAAGAAGTTGTATGTACAATAATAAGAAGTCTTGAAATGAAAAAAAATGATAATAGCACAAGTAGTCTACATTAATAACATGTGCATAGTATCTAAGCTTACCTATTTGCTATAGGTAACAAAATTATTCAAAATAGTAATAGAAGTAATACAAAAGCCAATTTTAAGAGTAGCAAAACATAAACTTAGAATTGCAAATACAGTAAGCAATAGTATTATACTTCATAGAAATCTTGGAAATTGCAACTCACTTTGGTACCAACTATTAATAAAGCAAATTACAAGTTTGTATGCATGAGTTAACACTATAGGTTCAGAAGAAGCTTTTACCAAAATACAGATTAACTATGGACTCTTATTAATAGATGCATCAGAAAACAATTAGTACTATAATCCACCTAAGGCATGCAAAAGCTTATAGAAAGACAATCTAGCATATCATATTATGCTTAAAGCTAAAGAGATACAAGTAATAATGAGATTTACAATTTCAGACCTTAATATAGAGAATAAAAATACAAAAATAGCAGATTTATTAGACAATGACTTTACTAAAAACACAGCTAAATTCCTTAGTAAATTCAACTTAGTTTATACAAATCAGTTAGTTTTGAAATCAGATAACAAAATGATTTCATGACAACAACTTAAACTATTATGAGAAAAATCAAACAAGGGCAAAAAAGTCAAGTAGTTTACAAAAATAGAAGAAAAATTATTAGAAAACAAAGAAAAAAGATTATTAAAAGCAGATTGGTGAACAAATGAACCAAACAGCCTTGTTCTCAAAGTGCTGCCAAAGCCACTTTCTTGTAACAAAAGTAAAAAGAGTAGGTTTTAATAAAATCAGTAGAAGAGAAGAATACAGAACTGGTAATTGGAAAGATTGTAACAAAAGCTTCTAAAAGATTATTAACAGAACATTGACATGAAGAAATGCAGATAGAAACAGCAAAAGTAATTTTATCTAAATGTAAAAGTTGTGAGTTAAATCAAAGCCAAATAAGCTCAGGCTGTAAAAAATAGATTAATAAAGTTAAAGCAAAGAAAATTTCAAACTATGTTAAAAAACATAAACAATAAACCCTAGAATTAGACCAAGAAATGATAAACTCCTTACAAAAAACAAAAGAAAAAAGAGTATAACAAAATGAAAGTGAAGCTACTAAAGTTACATATTATGATTTGAACATCAAAATCATTAAAAAACAATATATTAGTCAGCTAATAAAAGAAAAACTTATAAAACTCAATCAAAGAAACAAAGAAAGATCTAATAAAACATTGATCTTTTATATGGATAGTTTATTAAAAAGAACATCAAGAAAAGAAACTTCAACAGTAGACCAAATAGGATCAGACTGGGTGCAACTAGATAGAAAAGAAAAGAAAATACTAAGTATGGGCTGTTTTAGTACATAAAATTAGCCATTATTAACAAAACTAGAACTTTTAGCTATTTGATTTGTTGTACTTGCAGTACCAAAACAGAGAAAATTAAAAATTTGTACAGATAGTATAGCAGCAATTGCAGGTCTAAAAAATAGAAAAGAAAACCAATCTATTAGATGATGACTAAAAAGAAATAATTATAATCTATTAAAGAATATTAAAAACATTATAGAGTTAAAAAATTTAGAAATAGATTTAGTTAAAGTTAAAGGCCATAGTGATAATGAATAGAACAATAGAGCAGATATGTAGACAAAAGAAGAAGCCAAAATAGATAGTTTAGATAGAATAGTAGAGAAAACTGCTTAAGAAACTAGCATCTCAATTTATTAGAAAGAAGAAATTATAGAAGATCTTATAAGAAAATTTATTAAAAAAATCTTAAATCTTCAAATAGGAGCTGAATGAAGTTTTTCATTAGTAATTAAAAAGATAAAGTCAGATGATAAGAAGAAAGTATATAATTGGACATACTTATAGAAAAAAATTAAAGACCAAAGTATAAACAAATATACAAGCCAAAAAAAAAAAATACACAATTAGAAATCTTAATTAAATGTTTTAATAATAGATTATCATTACTAAAATCTTTAACACAATGTAGACTAGATCTTTACAAAAGTCCTTTTTGCATATTTTGCAATGAAGAAGAGAAAGAAAACCTAGAACATTTGGCATCATGCAAGTGCTATGAGAATAACTAAAAAAAAATAGAAGACCTATTAATTAATCTTATATGGACTAAAATCTTAAGTAAGACACAAGTTATTACAAACAAAAGACAACTTAAAGAAATTTTTTGGTAAGTAAACAAGTAAGAAAAAGAAGAAACAAGAATAGAAATAATTAAATGTCTAGTCCAAGAAAAGACAATTAAACAAATACAAACTTTACTAAAGCCACTTAAGGAAACAAAAGATTTTTTAGACATGATAACTAATATAGTATGGAATGAGTTCTACAAAAACATATGAAAAAGAAGATATAAAACTACTATTGAATAGGAAAAGCTGATGAACATCAACTGGTCATTAAAGTGAAGAAAATTAGAAAGAAATATGAAATTACCTAGTAAAGAGATATATAGTTAAATAGAGAATCCAATTAAGTAGAAAGAAACCAAGCTACTAGGGAGATTAAGAAGCTAAAAGAAGTAGAAAATACTAAAATAAAAGAAATATGGTTTGGTTTAATTAAAAGTTATATAGAGAGTAAAATAAGACTATTTTCAAATAATCTTTTAAACTAGTCTGATACAGTTCCCAAATTCAGGTTATTACCCTAACCAGTGCAGCAGACCATTTCTGAACACTTATTGAAGTAGCTAAAGGATGTTGAACCAGTAAATTAGATCAAAGTATATACAAATTTGTAAATACAAATCTTAATAAAGATCAATGACAAGGCTGCCAAAGAGGAAAAAAAAATACTTTATATTAAAATTTACAAGAATTTTTTTTATTAATACTCAAAAAGTAGTTTTATAATTTTTTAAAAAAGCAATAATTTGATATTACATCTAATTGTGTAATCTGATTGGCTTTTTATAGATTTTGTATACAAATAAAAATTGTTTTGTTTTTTATTAAATAATTTTTTTTTTAATATTAATAATAAGACTAACAAAATTTTATAACTTAATTAGTTAATTATTTAATTATATAACTAAATTATTTAACAAAAAGCAAATTAGCAATACTTTAATTTAGTATAAAAATTATTAAATTTTTAAATAAATATTGATTTTTAAATATTTACTTATAAAAAAAATTAACTATAAAGTATTATATACTAAGTACTATAAATATAATATATTTTATAATAATTTTTAATAATATATATATATTATATTCCAAATTCAAATTTGTTTCAATTGTTAATTAAAACAACCCAAATGCTAATTTACTAAATTTATTTAAATATTTAAGTTATATTAATTTTTTAATTATATATATATATAGATAAATTTTTATATATACAAATACAACCTTTTATAAATATAGTTTTTAAAAAAAGTTACAATAATTTCGACAGTATAATTATAAAAAAACAAAACTAATATTATTTAGTTAATGAATCTAGTATAGCAACTTTTGTATTACTAACTATTATTAATTATTAATTATTAATAGATTTAAAATAATTTTAATTAAAAAATGTTTAAACTTTTATTAATTAAAATATTCTAACCTTTTTTTACAATCTAACAAATTAGGTAATGATTTTTGTGTTATGTTAGACAAATATCTAAAGCACCAATTATTTAACTTTAATTATGCAATGTGTTTTACATACATTACACAATTGGCGATCTTCTATCATATCAATTTTAGTGTTTAAATTGCTACATAGAAACGTACGTACGCCTTAAAACCATTTCTTCTTTTTCTTTTTTTCTTTTTATTTTCTTTACTATGTTATGAATAAAATTCACTTACATTTTTTATAAAAAAAAGTAAAAAGAAAATATTCAATTAATAAAGTGATGTTATATTATACGATAAAGTTAATAAAGTTAATATATTAGTATATAAAAAAAAGAAGATACGCATTTGGCGCAGCATTGCAGAAAAGAAAACAAATAGTAGATTTCACTGCCTATTTATATATAAATACCCCTCAGTCCTCCCCCCAAATGCGAATTTCAAATCATAAGATCACAACCTTACACAATTACGGTAAATGTCTATTTTTATAATTGCTATTGTCGATTAATTAGTTAACATATGGTGACGATTGTTTAACCACCATCACATGATCACTAACACACGTACGACGTACGTACTTACATATTGATATAATCCTTTATACGTAGCATTTCTTTAGTCGATATAAAAGGAAAATAGAATACTGTAATTGTCTAATAATCAATCAATATTATGTCTACAATATCATCATCGCCTTTAAACCGGTCAACAAATCAAATAGAAGCTCTTCAGAGTAATGGCTCTTTCCAGAATAATACTTCTACATACCAAAAACAACAATATATATGTTGCTGGAAAGGATGTGATCAGCGATTTAATAACGCAAAAGATCTTATAATACATTTGAGGGAAATACACATAAAAATTTTGAATATTGAATCTCCATTATTTCATTGCCAATGGGGTGATTGTAAGAGTGATGAATCCACATCAACAGAAAATTTGCTTAATCATGTAATGGAAAAACATTGCAACTTATCTACTCAGCAATCACAAACACTATCACAAACACAATCACAACAATCGAACACAGAGCAAACAGTGACAACTGGCCGACAGATTTCAACGGTGGGCAATTTATAAATTTTAATTTATTTATTCACTTATTAGTTATTCTGAATTTTTGATATTTGTTGAATAGGAATCACAGATGGACCAAGGAATAGCAGTACAGAACATTTCCGAATCAGTTCAACAACAGCCAGATTCGCAATTAGAATTGCAAGTAAACCAGCATGATCAACGAATCGAGGAAAGCCAGAAAATAACTTGTGCACTTCAATTGGATACAGTACCACCTGACAGCTCACGACAAGTCGATTCTGTTAAGCCAGTTCGTACTTGATTTATTTATTTTATTTTATTTTCTAAAAAAAATCTAATTTATGGGGATTCTTATGGCATCCATTTCTATATAGAAAGAAATAGTAATTATAGACGACGACGAATCCGCCGTTGATAAGCCCATTCAAGTGGCTAATTCGGTAATTTCCGAATATATTACGTTAATTAAAAATTCCCGAGATAACGAAATCGTTCTTATTCAATAGGTTTCTGCTGCACAACGAGTCACAAATAACAGGATGTCTGTAATGCAAGAGTTTGACACAAGGTCAAGGCAAATTACGCAGACACTACATTATTCATATCTTACTGAGACCCAAGGGCATTCAGTTCCGTCTTTTAATGTAACCTCAAATCAGGTACAGAAGCCAAGCCGACAATTTCAAGTCCCGAGCCAGATGGCGCAAGTCCCGGGTCATATGGCACATGTTCCTAGTCAGATGGCTCAAGTCCCGAGTCATATGCCACATGTTCCTAGTCAGATGGCCCAAGTCCCGAGTCAGGTAGTACAATTTCCTAATCAGAGGGTTCAAGTTCCGAGTCAACGTGTTCAAATGGGAGCAAATGCTTCACCACATAACAGTTTTAGATATCACCCAGCACAACATGGTAACAACATAGTTCGAACTTCACAACAGAATTACCACACATCGGGTTTACCATTGGTACAGGTTCGTTAATATATATGTATATATTTACTTTAATATTCAATAAAGGAATCAAGCATTTTTATTTTAGACATATCAAGATGAGAATGTTATTAGGATTATACAACAAAATGATGTATTGCGGCAAGAAAATGAAAAGCTAAAGTTTGAGTTGAGAAATATGATGACGACAGCAGCATTTCAGGAACCACTTAAGAAAGAAAATGAACAATTAAAAATAGAGTTACAAAATCTGAAAGCGAAAATTGCTGCACAGGAAGCACAACCAAGACAAAGTGAACGTGAAAATTTTTTGATGGTTGAACTGCGAAAATTGAAAACGCAGCTTATGCTTAAGGAATCACAATTAAAAATGACCGAAGGGGAGCTTGTCTATCATAGGAGGGTTACGAATCTTATAACAGAGCAAATTCGTCGGTCGGATTCTAAGATGAGAGAAATATGGGTGAATATGCTACTTGACAAAGGCCGTAAAAAACATAATGAAAAAATGTTGATCGAAAGAGCCTCCTTAAAAAGAACTAGAGAAGAAACTGATATGCAAGATTCGATAACAGGAGCGATTCAGAAAAGAAGCAAAGAAAGCGAAGGGAACAGTGAAGGAGCTTCAGAAAACTCAAAAGATACCAAAGGAATAGATGAAGATAATACTAATCAAGATGTAGAAAATATGGATGTAGAACCGATAGAGAAGCCCGATTCAGCAGAGTATGATATCAATGTTATCACGGAAGCTTACGTTTGTCAATGGGATGGATGCAAAAAAGCATTTAGAACAAAACTAGCACTCAAGGCACACATTCCATCCGAACATATAGCAGCCGAGTGTTTACGCGTTCACGTGGATAGACCATCAATTTTGTAAAATCTTGTGTTATGTTTTGCTTGCCTTTGTAAATTTAGCCTAACTTGCAAACATATTAAGATTAATACTGTATAGAAATTTAATAGACTAAGAGTACAATAAAATAATAATAATATGGGAAATAAAAAAAAGCATTATATGCATAAAAAATAAGTATAGATGGATATATAAGAGCCCCTTAATAAAGCGTACTTTTATTGGTAATACCTCCGCGGACAAAGACCATTTTCGTACAGGTCAAATTTGTAAACTCGTACATTATATATTAGTTAATAAATGACTTCTGTTCGCATAAAAACTCTAAAATTCAATATTTGAATGTTCTGATCTGTTTTTTTTTTTTTTTTATCAAATAATGATAAATCTACATATATATGTAAATGTATATAAATCTGTACACAAAAGTAAACATATTCATACATCAAACTGTCTTTTGAATTTACTGCATTCCAGAACGAATTTAAAAAATTTGGCACGTGTCAAATTTTCTTAGTATCGGTATTATCTATCTGATACTATTCTGATGGGTTAGTGAAAATTTTGACTTTGGCGTGTGTAAATAAATGATTTAATGATTTAGTCTACCAAAACATCCTTCCCAGCGTAGCTAACAAAAAAACCTCGTGATCTTAGAATGCGTTAAAGTTCAGTTATGTTAGGGTTAGCAATTATTAGATTAAATGTAGTCTCTGGGGTAAAATTGCTCAAGAATTTTTACTAGAACGCAAAGGGTGGTTTCTTATTCAATAACCGTTTATTCTGGATTTTGTTACATTACACCGAATTATGATTATAGAAACTTTAAGTTTGAAACCATACGTAGGATCCCTTTGATGCATAGTGCTCAAAAGTGTCGGCATTGTTAGATTCTATTTGAACCGTTATGTTCCGATTGGATGAAATCAACAACCCTAACAATATTATCGTTATATTTTTTTCAATGACATCTCAGCAACTACCTATCCGTAATTGATGAAAATTTTAGTTTAACTATTGTCACAGGCGAAAAATTCGTGACGGCTCGTGCGTCACGATACGTTGCACAAGCACCGATCGGGACCCAGGATCGAATATGCACGATCGACCCCACAACGGTAAACGTGCATAATCGTGCCCCCAACGCCCAAAATTCCCAGCAAGACGAATATATCCAAATCGGGGAAGGCATAGGGTCGTAAATACGGCGTTTCAGAGTGGCGGGATCCAGGTGGTAAAAGGGCGGGTTAGTATAGTTATAATAAAATAAACTAAAAGTAAAACCAACAGAATCCAATACTTACCCGGTTTAGGTGAAACCCGCAGTGGTACGATTATATAGTGGCGAAATTATGGGAAAAGCTAGTGAAACTGTTAGTAATAACGAAAATGTTAAGCATAATTTTAATAAAGTAAAACTTATCTTTTGAGTGCCCCAACTAGTGGGAGGAAGGATCGAAGTTCCTTAGTAATAGTAGTAGATAGTGATAGTTAGTTAAGTTATTAATAAACACAGAGACTAAAGTACAAACAGATAGAGAAATAAATAAAACACTCGCCAAATCTAATCCACGCCTTGAAGCCTTGCCCCGCCGTTATCGTACCGTTACGCGAGGTCTTGTCCGTTGGAGCGACAGACTCGCCGTTTACCCGTCGCACTATAAATCCATAGAATAAAATAAAATTTTCATCAACTTTAGGTAGGTAATCGAGCCGCACTCTGATAATCGTCTAAATTTTTGTTGAACTTTGAACGAGAATATCTCGATAACTACCTATCTAAAATTGATTCTATGGATTTAGAATTAAAATATTTTAATATATATTAGATATTCAAAGTTCAACTAACTTGGGCGATTATCAGATTGCGCCCAAGTTTTTTCAACTATGATATTTCGATAATTACCTTCTTAAAATTAATGAACTTTTTTTATTTTAATTCTATTTATTTATAAAATTAAAATAAAAAACAATTTCATCGATTTTAGATAGGTAGCTGCTGAAATATAATCGCTCATGTTTTAAAAAAACTGAGGTTTATATAATTTTCCCGACACTAATTTCACCGACGCGACAAAATATTTACCCGACAATATTATTGCACCGACAGTGCTTTCTTCTCGACAATTATATACCGAATATTCTCAAATGATAGTTATTTCCCCAATAGCTATTACCTCAAAAAGCAATTATAATGCATTAATACTAGGGTGTAGCATACTCCGGAGTAAGCCCAACCCAAGTTGGAGTTGGTTAAAGATATGCTAGAGTAAAACTGGAGCTACTCTAAGCAAGTCTGGGGTGCTTCAGAGTGAGCCCAACCCAATTTTATGAATTACTTAACATTCATAGGACGATATTCATATGATTGGTAGATATACCCGTGATTTCCATGATATAATTTTTAAAATGATTTATCGTTATCGTTTTAATACTACTAGAAAACGAAAAGAACTTTACATTAAGGAGCTTATAAACTAATAATGCATGTAAAAAAGAATTTGTCTCATTTTTAGAAATAGCTCAAATCATCAAAAAATTCAATGTAAATAAATTATTAACGAAACTATCTTTTATTCTTTATTACATTTTAAAAAATGATTAAAATAATTCTATCTTATTTTAAGTTACTATGACCTTTATTAAACAGTACACTCAAAGTTCCAAGTTTAAAGCTTACATGTAATGTCTCAATCTTCTTTTTTTATTGTCCGTTTTGGCATTTAAAACTTAAATATAGTAAATATAACTAGTATTAGCGGTATATAGTAAAAATATTTGCTCCTAAGTAAAGTTCTTAGAGAGGTGGATTATTTTGGATTAATTTTAACAGTGAATATCTACGTTCGTTTAGGGCTAGAATTTGCAATGGTGATTTTTTTGTTAGTGAAACGTTACGTTCTCAAAAAGTACTTTAAAGTGTATAAATAAGTTACCCAGGCAATTGATTACATCAGCCAATCGAAAGAAAGTCGTCCTATGACTCTAACATAGACCTAACTCTATATTCAGTAAAATAATTGTCGGGGAAAATAATACTGTCGGGAAATGATACTATCGGGGAAATGTGTGTCAGGAAAGTGCGTTGGTGAAATGAGTGTCGAGAAAATTGCATCCAGAAAGGATATCCTTATGTCCAGAAAATGTGTACCGGGTTGGGTTTGGATAATCGAACGGATGATGGTCCAGAAGATAGATAACATAGTGGTGGCAGAAAAAATTTGTGATCAGGTGATTTCTGATCGTTCAACATATATTACTGTTAAGTTATTGCGAATTTTTTCTCTGTTACCTCCAGAAAAATCAATTAACGAGATTTTGTCAATTAAAAAAAAAAAAAGTATATGATACATATTATATATATGTCATGGATCATAATAAAACATAGCTATTTTTATACAACCTTTTTTTTTTTACAATCAGTTTACTATAGAAAAAGCTGAGACTGTATAAAATTTTTTTTTTTTAATATTAAGCTTTTTTCAATTAAATAAACTAATATTTCATATGCTTTTACAACGTCTATACAATGTTACAGGCTTTCGCTTTCGAAATTCCAAAAAACAAATTTTTTTTTAAATCGCTAATTTGGTTCGTTTCTTTTGACAAAGTATGTCAAGTGAATAAGTTTTTAACTTAAATGCTACAGAACTATTCGTGTTTCTATTTCTCAAACTATGTGGGAACTGAATAAGTTTTGGCGCATTCGGGATTTTTTCAAAACATCTGTCTTTAATATTGATGTTCACGTTTTCCAAAGTGACTAGGTTTTAAGCTCTTAATACTTATAGACCGGTGTAAGCATTCGTTAGAGAGATTCAATATATCCAATAGTTAGCTTGCAAAATAGTGAAGTAACGGTTAAAAATATGTGCCTGTACGACTTTGCTACAATTTTAATATTTAAATTAATGACGTGATGAATACATAATTTCTTTAGTGTTTTACAGTTATAGTTCTATCATACGTACTATAATTCTGATCTAATTATCCGGACCCAACCTGGTACACATTTTCTGGGTGCGAGAAAATTAGTGCTACGGTTCCGAATAGGGTTCTAAAAAAAGGGCCTCTAAAATACAATGAAAAAGGTAGTATTAGGGTTCGTCTATCAGGAACAAAGTTTTTAACTTCAAGATCTGTACCGATAATCCATCAGGAACGGGTATTTTTTTTTACTAATCTACTACCTAGTTCGTTTAATATATGCATCTACATACTGCATAGATTATATTCTTGATTTTTATATAAATTAGGGTAGCTGCGCGACGTTGTCACGCTCAAACCAGAAACGTAGTATATATATTATTATTATTATTATTATTATTATTATTATTATTATTATTATTATTATTATTATTATTATTTTTTTTTTTTTTTTTTTTTTATTTTTATTTTTTTTTTAATTGTTGACATTTGGTTATTTTATTATTTTTTGTGATTCATGTATTTATTGTAAATTTGGTTATTGCTGTAGTAATTTCTTGTTAATATATAATGATAGAATTATTTGCTGATAATAGTTATTGTATTTATTTTATTTGATTTTTTTCTTGTTTATATATATATTTTTTCTCATCATCAAAATTATGTTGTTAAGAAAATCAGTACACAAGAAAAATTACAGGTATACATGTAGGTGGATTCAAATCTTGTGGACTTTGATTTTATTTACATGGATCTGAACCAACTAAGTAAATTTTTAAGATTAAAATAAATGAAAATTTAAGTTCGAGAATTGTAAACAATATAAATTTTTATAACACAATTTTATAATTAAATTTTGTATCATTGTGATGACATTAAATATATTAAATATGTTTTTGTTTTTATATTTAGTATTGTTGGATAACAATTGCTTCTATATATTTGATTTGAATATCTATTTATAATATATAAAAATCATTTCTCATTCATATTATTACATTTTATTTATGTTATAAATATGATTAATGAAAAAGAAAGTAATCATTTTTTTTTTTACAAAGATAAAATTTCAACATTGTAACTAGTTTTTTTTTTAC